GGCAGATGAATGATGTTTGCACGGCCGACATGTGCATTTGTTGATGGGAGAGGGGAGGACGGAGCCGCGTTAGAGGGCCATTGTTATAGCTGGGTGACTGTATCATGCCAGGGGTGCAGGGTCGTAACAGGGTAGCAGGGTCAGATGCTGGAGGGGCATGTTGTCATCTGGGGGTGGGGTTAAGCCTATATAACTGCACACCAGACTGAAGAGGCTTGCACTGAGTGGGAGGGACTAAACAATCTTGCCAATTCTGGGAGTTCACTGTTCTTGATGCCTTGGTCCTGCTGCATTCTCTTTGGTGGTTGGGGCATGCCATCACATTTCAATGGACACTGTTTGGCAGTGCCCCGCCCCCTGACCTGACCCCCCCCCCCCCCCTCTGCGATCCTCCAACGGTGACTGAGATGAGCTGGTCGACCGTGTTGCAGTGATGGTAACCTGACGGACGTGGAGATGGCTGGTGGGCTGGGCGAGTACTTGCGCGAGGTGCACGCTCAGTACGGCCCCCTCGTCTCCTTCCACCTGGGCAAGCAGCTGGTGATCAGCCTCGGCACGTACGAGCTGATGGAGCAGCATAGTGGCGCCGCCGAGCGGCCCGAGCTGTACCTCGAGTTTCTGCGGCCGCTGCTAGGGCGCGAGAGTATCGTGTGGGCGGACCGAGCCGAGACGACGCGCCGCTGGCGGCTCTACCAGCAGGGTTTCTCAGAAGAGTGCCGCGCCGTGTACCGGCAGGCGGCGCGAGAGGTGAGCGCCGCCCTCGCCGCCGCCGGGGCTGGAGGCGGCGCCGGCCGGGCTGGAGGCCTGTGTCGCGCCGCTGGGCTGGACTACATGCGACACGATGCTGCGCCCGCGCCTCTTGCCGTGCCGGTGTCGCGTCTAGGCTGGGCCGTGTCTGTGGCATGGCCCGTGCCAAATTCCACTGTCCATGCTCGGTGGGAGAAGGTGGCGTGTGTCGTGAGCTGGGTGCAGTTGTTGGTTGTTGTTTAGTGTGCCTGCTTGGCGTGTGTCGTGAGCTGGGTGCAGTTGTTGGTTGTTGTTTAGTGTGCCTGCTTGGCGTGTGTCGTGAGCTGGGTGCAGTTGTTGGTTGTTGTTTAGTGTGCCTGTTGGCGTGTGTCGTGGCTGGTGCAGTTGTTGGTGTTGTTAAGTGCCTGTTTGGCGTGTGTCGTGAGCTGGGTGCAGTTGTTGGTTGTTGTTTAGTGTGCCTGTTTGGCGTGTGTCGTGCGCTGGGTGCAGTTGCTTGGGTGTTGTTTAGTGTGCCTGTTTGGCGTGTGTCGTGAGCTGGGTGCATTTTTGTTGTTGTTTTAGTGTGCCGCTTGGCTGTGTCGTGAGCTGGTGCAGTTGTTGGTTGTGTTTAGTGTGCCTGTTTGGCTGTGTCGTGCGCTGGGCAGTTGTTGGGTGTTGTTAAGTACGCCTGTTTGGCGTGTGCGTGAGCTGGGTGCAGTTGTTGGTTGTTGTTTAGTGTGCCTGTTTTGGCGTGTGTCGTGCGCGGGTGCAGTTTGGGTGTGTTGTTAGTGTGCCTGCTTGGCGTGTGTCGTGAGCTGGGTGCAGTTGTTGGTTGTTGTTAGTGCCTGCTTGGCGTGTGTCGTGAGCTGGGTCAGTTGTTGGTTGTTGTTTAGTGTGCCGCTTGGCGGTGTCGTGAGCTGGGTGCATTGTTGGTTGTTGTTTAGTGTGGCCTGTTTGGCGGGTGTCGTGCGCTGGTGCAGTTGTTGGGGGTGTTGTTTAAGTACGCCTGTTTGGCGTGTGTCGTGAGCTGGGTGCAGTTGTTGGTTGTTGTTTAGTGTGCTGTTTGGCGTGTGTCGTGCGCTGGTGCAGTTGTTGGTTGTTTGTTAGTGTGCCTGTTTGGCGTGTGTCGTGCGCTGGGTGCAGTTTGCTGGGTGTTTTAAGTACGCCTGTTTTCGCTGTGCTGTCGTGTGGCACATACAAACTAGGTGTACAATCACCGACTTGTTCATACAAGTTCGCCTAGCCCGGCATCTGCTTTGCCAGAGCGTGAGCCCAGCCTTCCCCTGCGTGACACGACGCGGCTGGTTTGTTGCTGTCCGCCCAGCGTCTGGACGCCCGCGCCGCGCCCGCCCCGCTGACCTTGATCATGCGACTGCTGGCCGTCAGGCGGCCGGCCGTGTCTCCGAGAAGCTGCAGTCGCTCTCGTCGGAGGAGCACGTGTCGCTGCAAGCAGTACACCTCGGCGCTGGCGCTGCACATCGTGGCCCGCTGCTGCTGTCTACACCACATGGACGACGAGCACAGCATGCTCAGCTTCGCGCAGGAGTACGAGATCGTGAGTGGAGGTGGGCGGCGGCCACTGGGCCGGCGCCGGCGGGCTGCAGGCCGGACGCGCAGGTATGAGATCGTGAGTGGAGGTGGGCGGCGGCCATTGGTGCCGGCGCCGGCGGGCTGCAGGCCGGACGCGCAGGAGTACGAGATCGTGAGTGGAGGTGGCGGGCGGCACTGGTGCCGGCGCCGGCGGGCTGCAGCCGGACGCGCAGGAGTACGAGATCGTGAGTGGAGGTGGGCGGCGGCCACTGGTGCCGGCGCCGACGGGCTGCAGGCCGGACGCGCAAAGTACGAGATCGTGATGGAGGTGGGCGCGGCCACTGGTGCCGGCGCCGGCGGGCTGCAGGGCCGGACCGCAAGTATGGATCGTGAGTGGAGGTGGGCGGCGGCCATTGGTGCCGCGCCGCGGCTGGGCTGCAGGCCGGACGCGCAGGAGTACGAGATCGTGAGTGGAGGTGGGCGGCGGCCACTGGTGCCGGCGCCGGCGGGCTGCAGGCCGGACGCGCAGGAGTACGAGATCGTGAGTGGAGGTGGGCGGCGGCCACTGGTGCCGGCGCCGACGGGCTGCAGGCCGGACGCGCAGGAGTACGAGATCGTGAGTGGAGGTGGGCGGCGGCCACTGGTGCCGGCGCCGACGGGCTGCAGGCCGGACGCGCAGGAGTACGAGATCGTGAGTGGAGGTGGGCGGCGGCCACTGGTGCCGGCGCCGACGGGCTGCAGGCCGGACGCGCAGGAGTACGAGATCGTGAGTGGAGGTGGGCGGCGGCCACTGGTGCCGGCGCCGACGGGCTGCAGGCCGGACGCGCAGGAGTACGAGATCGTGAGTGGAGGTGGGCGGCGGCCACTGTGGCCGGCGCCGACGGGCTGCGGCCGGACGCGCAGGAGTACGAGATCGTGAGTGGAGGTGGGCGGCGGCCACCGGTGCCGGCGCCGGCAGCCTGCAGGCCGGAGGAGGCACGCCACACAGCGCTGCACCCCGCCCCGGCACACTCGCGCCCGGTGGGATGCCGCTCGATGGCCCGGCTTGGTTTGTGTTGGTCTGTTGCGCCTGGCTGTGCCGGTCTGTAAGCCTGCTGTGGTACCGACCAGGTGGAGTCGGCGCTACGTCAGATCCCATGTGTGTGTGTAGGTGTGCAGCTGACGTTGCTGCTACGCCTGATCTGGTGTCGGTGGGCGACGTCACTGTGACAGGCAGTTGGCCCTGTGTGTCGGTAGATGACGCCGATGTGTCTGGCTGTCGTGTGCCGACTTGTGACGTCAGCTTGGCGTCGTTGCGACGCCCATCTGTCTGCAGATGACGTCAGCGCTCTGTCGTATTCCGCTGTGACGTCATTGTTCGCCGGTTTGCCGTCGCTGCGACGCCGTCTACCTGCAGATGACGTCACCGTTCTGCCATGCCCGCTGTGACGTTAGTGTGACGTCAGCTAGCCGTGGTCTTGACTCCCGCCTGGTGCGGCAGGTGACGGCCGAGGTGACGAGCGAGGCGTGCGGTCGCCAGCTGTATGAGAGCCAGCAGGACCACCTGCTGGAGGCGGCCGCCGCTCTCCGTGACGTGGCCGCCGCCATCGTCCGCAAGCACCGCCGCGAGAACAAGTCCACGGTGGGTGCGCTACCGACGCCGGCCGCCTGGCGGTGTCGGACCGGAGCGCGCGGCCCCAGCCGACACGGACTGGCCGACGACGGCGGCTCCGGTGCGGTCCACGCCGAAGTCTGGCGGCTGGCTTGGCAGTCTCGCTGCTCCGTGCGGACCGCTCTGAACTGGCTGAGATCTGGCGACTGGGTGATTACGGCATCGCCTGCGAGGGTCTGGCTTAATGTGACATCCGTGCTGACTGTCAACGAAGGGGTACACCGTTGGCAGGGCGCCCGTGTGCGCGGACCATGGAGGGCCAGCACTGCGGTGTTCAGCTCGTCACCCGCTGTCGCCAGGTGTCGCTGGTGGAGTGGGTGGCCCTCTCGGCTCAGGGCAGTCGGGCCGGCGGCGACTCGGAGGCGCACGTCAGTGACCTGCTGGCCCTCTTCATGTTCTTCTGCGAAACACTGTCGAGCGGTGAGCAGTTGTGTAAACATCACAGCATGATGTATTGCAGCCTGGCCAAAATAGGCGGGAGCAACTGCTCATTCTAATAGCTGATCATCTTCGCCATGTGAAGCGGATGTGCAGAAGGGGGATGCGATCTGAGCCGGTGTCCGCTACATCCCTTGTGTGGTCCGTGCTTTGCTCGTCACGTTTCCTCTGACTCAGTAAGGCTCCCTCTGTGGACTCCAGCTGTGCCTGCCTTGGGCAAGGCGTGACCTTCCCCGTGGCTTATAGCAGTGTAAGCCACTATGTGGAGACGTGCATCTTCTTCAATGCTCGTCTATTTTTGTGTAAATCCCGTCGCGCATGGGGACCTTGCTTCGCCAGTGCGGCGTCTGGTGACAAAAGTGTAAGTTTCCAACGGGTGTGTCTTCCGGGAGCGTGCAGCATGGGTCCCTGATGGGCTTAACGCCGGGCCGCGCCGTGTGTGTATGTTGGCAGGGCTGTGCTGGACGCTGTACTACCTATCGCAGCACCAGACCGTGCAGGACGCCGTGGTGGCACAGTTGGCCGGAGAGCAGACGGACACCGGGTCAGTGACGACGCCTCTCCGCACTGCCGCGTCTCCAGCTGCGGGCCTCAGCTGCCGTCCTTAACTGGGCTGCTCGGCTGGGGCAATCAGCTCGAGTCCTGAGCCGTGGTCCTGAGCTGGGGGCCCTGAGCTACGACCCTAGACTGGAACCCTGAGCTGGGGCTCTGAGCTGTGACCTTGAACTGTGATCCTGAGCTGGGACCCTGAGCTGAGGTCCTGAGCTGGGACCCTGAACAGGGGTCTTTGGCTGGGACCTGAGCTGTAGCGTGCTGCCCTGCTGGGCTGACGCCTGCCAGGGAACGGAAAACACGCTCCCCATGGCAGCTTGCGGTAGCTTGTGATAGCCTGACGTCTGTCATACGCGAGGCCGCCACCAGTGGCCTGTGGGGAAGCCAGGACCCCATTCGGGTGTTTCAGTCGTTAGATCTTCGGAAGATGTAACTCGTGTGAGGCGTATTGTGGGATGGCCTGGCGACCTGTTCTCAGATTGGCAACTGGAACAGCCTGCAGTGATGATCTTTTCAGCATTATATGTCTTTTGACGACATTTTGAGCAGTGTGGTGACCTTGCGGGTGGACGGTGGCTTGGCAAACCATGCGGTGACCTGCAGGACCGTGTGGTGACTCCCAGGGTAGCGGCCCTTGTGATGATCGGGTGGTTTCTTGTGACCTGGTGGTGACCCGTCGGCAGGCTGCAGGACTTCATGACCGACCCCTCCGTAAGCTGGCGGACCTTGGCCATGTGGTGACCTGACAGGACTGTGGTGATCCCGTGTAGCTTTGGTGACCCAGTGGACCTGTCGTGATTTGGTGGGGCTGTGGTGACCTGGTCGGGCCTGTTGTGACCGGTGGGGCTGTGATGATCTGCTCGGCCTGTGGTGACCTGATGGGCCTGCCTGTGGGCCGTTTGTGACCCAGTGGACGTGTGGTGACCGAGTAGACCTGTGGTGACCCTGTGGGCCTGTGGTGACCCGATGGGCCTGCTGTGGGCCTGTTATGACTCAGTGGACCTGTGGTGACGCGAGTGGACCTGTGGTGACCCTGTGGGCTTGTGGTGACCCATTGTCCACGTCGTCGCAGGCTGGTGGGCCGCGTCATCCGCGAGGCCTGGCGCTTGAGCTCGGTGGTGCCGCTGACGGCGCGTTGCTACAGCTCGCCGTCGGCCGTCCAGGGCCACACGCTGCCGGCGCGCACGCCGATCGTCGCGCCCTCTGTGTGGCGAACACGGCCGCCGGCTGGGCGCGTGCCGACAGGTTGGTGCCGCCCGCCGCCGGCACACGCGCGGGCAGGCATGTGTCGTCTGTACGGACCCGGCAGCTGTCCGCCCTGTCACACTGACACCGGCAGTGGGGGTTTGGCATTTGCTGTGGTGTTTCCCACAAGGTGTGTAGTTGGAACGGTGGCCAAAAACTGACTGTGGACCATGTCATGAGAAGCCGCCAGCTCCGAATGATTATTCAAACACGGCGTGTGTTAGCTGTGGTCCTGATTTGTGAATGACGGTGCCCTGGAATAATGCGATTGGTCACGCCCATATGTGATGAACTGGTGACCTCAGGTTTGACCCGGCCCGATTCGAGGGCGACACGCCGCCGCTGGAGCTGAACCCGCTGCCATTCCTCTCCAAACACGACGACATCGAGGGCGCCTCCAGGTGAGCGCCGCCGCCCGCCGCCACCGTGACCCGGCCCCTGCGCCCGCACGCGTGCGTCCCGGTGTGCTGGAGTGTGCGCCGCCCTGCAGGGCTGAGTGCCGACAGTTGGGGAGTTTAACGGTTTTATCGGAGTTTGACCCCAGGCCGCTTGATCCGAGTCATTGGCGAGCTCACAGGCCGAGCGAGTCTCCCCCACAGTGTGAGAGGACGTTCTCAGCGTGAGAGCCCCGACATGGACGTCACGCTTTGTAGAAGTTAAAACTCACGCGTGTAGTGATTAGAGCGCCACGAGCGTGACGTGGTTTTTAGATTAAAACCAAGGCCATGTAATAAGGTATGGTCATCCGGGAATTTTTCCGGCACCTTTCGTTCACCATTACAGCGACGTCACAAAGTCGCAACCTGGCATCACAGCGCCGGCTGCATTACCTTCGCGTCTGCTACAACCGGTGCAACCTTCTAACAAATGCGTCTGGTGATCGCCACAGGGCACTTCAAGAAGTAATATGAGGACATATGAAAGGGGATTTTGTCACGCCTGTCGTTAAACAGCGAACATGGGCCTAGAAACCAGGAACCCATGTGCCATGGCACTCCCATTTGCTGAGGATGCCAAACATTGAGTCCATGGCGATGCATTGAAGCTGGTCAGCCTACAGCTGCTTAAATGCGGGTTAGCGAACCTGGCCAAGGTCCAGTCATTGCCAAAGGAAGAACTGAGTGGCACCAGGATTATCATCCGACCTGTCGCGTTGAGCCTCAGCACTATACATAATGACGCGCTGGGTTGCACTGGTGTGCGATTGAGGCATTTTGAGACGACGGAAGTGGTACGCTGCCCGGTAGAACATAGGACATTGTGGACATTGCACGTCGCGTCAGCTATGCCACGAAGCCTCCGAAGGTCGCGGTGCATGACGTTAATCAAGATCATATCCGTCACGCCATGCGGCCAAGTTATCGAACACACGTATGACTCATAATTTGCCATACTTCACTTAAACGATTCTTGCGCCACCGTACACTTCATTGTGCACATTTGGCGAGGATCCAAAAAAACGGGGGGGGGGAGAGGGAGGGAAAAAATTATTGCGCCCAGCATGCACTTCATTGTGCACACTTGGCGAGGACCCAAAGAAACGGGGGGGGGGGGAGAGAATTCTTGCGCCCAGCATGCACTTCATTGTACACACTTGGCGAGGACCCAAAAAAAACAGGGCGGGTGGGGCGGAGCTCACATAAGCACAACGATGTTCACTTCGCGCTGTCCACCTGACGTCGCACCTGTTTAGCTGCGCGCCTGGCAGTAGCTCGCTCAGCCCCAGCCTGATTAAGGCATCTGAGGTGCAGATGGATGCGCGTCTTCATTAGCTTCCGAGCAATCCGCTTGTCCAGCGCAGAGCTTTCTTAGTAGGAGCTTTGTGTGTCGCGGTCCACGACGCCAATGTCTCGGTCCATGCCTCGGTCCATCACTTGTTGGAACACGATCTCGAAAGCCTCGACAACGCTTGTCCAGGCCGGCAACGGCACCATCAGACCACCCTGTCTAATCGTGTGTATCCAGCTGTCTGGGACACAGTTGGGTGGTGCCTCTCGGGTCGACAGTCCCATACTTGGATCGAGGTGTTTGCACTTCACCGCCACGAAGCCGGCAACGAAGGCCAGCGCCCCGTGCTCGACGTTCGTGTCTTCGTCCATTTCGTCGCCGCAGTGGGGGCCATTTTCGGTCCTCTCGCCGTCACCGCCATGGAAGCTTGCCTTTGCCCGATTCGTCGAACCCGCCGTTCTCGTCCACTTTGTTCAGGATGGGCATTGGAGGCATCGCGGCTGCTTGCTGGTAGGCGGCCTCCACGTCGTCCGTATGCGCTGCCGCTTCCACCACAGCTGGGTCTTGGATCTACGACACAACGATACAGCCATTTCCGCGTACCTATCAGGCGCATTAATCAGACCCTTTTACATATCACCAGCTTTGGTTTTCATTACGAGAGCAAAACGTCTTGGACCCGGACATGCCCATTCTTTTGTTATGGCATGCTTGTTTTTATACACAACCACCTTTTTGTGATCCAGGGTGACATAATCCTAGCGGGCAGCAGTTTTTTACCACGATATTACTGTATGTAATCCCGGAGTTTGGTGACCAGGCAAATAGCCTTTATTTGAAATCTCAGACACCACCATGAACAGTAACACGAAGAGCCCAAAAGTGGCTCAAAAGTAACAAGACTCGCAAGAAGCCGAGTGAACATGTACGGTACGTAGGTGAAAGAACTGCACAGGGCACCAGGGCAACCAACATTAGAATCTTATTGATGTGCTAGGTACTGAACATACCAACGATTGTGGGGTTTGTTGGTCAGCTCACAGTGCGTAGATGTACTGTCAATGGGGCTTGGACTCGCTCGTGCAAACATACCCCTCCACCCGTCGCAAACCCTGGCTACGTCCCTGACCCTCACCCCCCCCCCCCCCCCCCTCCGCCCGCGTAGCATGAATGGCTGTGCCACTTGTGTGGTAGTCAGGCCCCACTTCGTAAACAAGATTATGATCGGACAATTTCGCTTTAATCTCGTATTGTAGTCTACGAACTGCACAGAGCGGCACGGTTTATGCAGGCAGTAGTGACTGTGAATCGGGTTCAAATATTTCTGCATGAAACAGGCGGAAATTTTCCTTTTAAGCACACGCATGCTCACTTTGGCGTGCCGGCGATGTCCAGTCGCATGGAAGGAACTGCACTTGGTCGAAGGCACGGCTTAACACTGGGTATGAGACGGGCCTTAACCAGATGGCCAGGATCATAGTCATAATCTTGAAAATGATCAGACCAGATTATCGCATTCTCCGCATTTATAATGTTAGTCCAAGAGGAACGGTTCGCTCATGTTTTCGGGACAGTTGGTATCGTTTTTTTTATAGAAAAGTAAAAAAGGTTTGTATTGTGCCGTTTCACATTCTTGCAAGAAGCCACTTCACATAATAGCATCCTGCTGCCAAAAAACTGCCTTTGATGATCACTTTTGCCCCACGCTCACACACCACTTCAAAATTCTCCCATCCGCGACATAATAGCTCGCACTGAGGCAACACAATACAAACTTGATGCCACACTGCACGATAATCACGTTATTACATTCAAGGACATTACATTGGTACTACGCGGCCTTCACGATAACAGACAAGACCAACCACAGCATTTCTGCGCGACGACTGCTTTCCACGCGGCGCAGTCGACGTTGCCATGCAACGCCGCAGAGCGAGCCATTGCGACTTTGTGACGTCACCGCCGAACGTTAACCAGGCGCCAGCCCGACCAATTTCTCAAGCTGCGATGATGGCCCCCTGATTAAAACAGGACAGTTCTCGAAGATTGTGCGGTTTGAATTGTTCTGTGGTTGCATGTAGTGCGATCAGCTGGCTTTTTTGCCGTGTTGCGTTGCGTTATCGACACAGTTTCACCGCCCCCACCTAATGAAAACGTAGCAGGTAAAGTTTTCAGCTTGCGAGGAAGCTGAAGGGCACTGGTTGAAACCGGGTCCAGATCCGGATGAACAGACATCGCAGCAACACGAGGCTAGCGAATTTGCAATCACGCTGGCAAGAGTTTGGGTTGATGTGTGCTGACGGTCCCCCGCTACCGTGTGCAAGCGATGCGTCTGCCTTTTTGTGATGTTCGTAAGGCTTGATGCCAGAGCCCGGCAACTGGAGCAGATGAAGACCTGGGACGAACCTCCGGGCTTTGGCGAATGCACCGGCTGCATTATACAACATTTCAAAACTGGCGGAGACGAAAGTGCACCAGAATCAAGGATGCACCAGTAATCGACAACCACTTTTCAGGCGTTGCTATTTTTGAACCAGCCAGCGAATGCTACATCATGTTACATGAAAGGCTATATCAGCATGTTTCGCTGAGATTTCAGGAGCAGCGCGGTCTCCAGCGCAATGTTGGCAGTCAGGGATGTCATTGTTGACAGGGATGTCATTGTTGGCAGTCAGGGATGTCATTTTCCAAAATTGGTCAGGGGTACTCAGCTGAAAAGGTTGACCTATCCTGCCTACAAAACTTCATTTCTTCCCAGATTTCGACCACTTGAATTTCTCTTTTTTATTTATTCCGTAGGTCATAATTATTTTCCTGTGGATGAATGGATTTATATTTCAAGTTAATGTGAGCTGCCTTGTGAAAAGCTTAGAATTAGGTGTAATGCACATAAAAAATACATTTTGGTCGTTGGTGTCGATTGCCTTGTCATCTAGTACTTGGTTGCATTGTATTATTTTTGGCATGTACGCGATGGCACACGATAACTTACACCTGCTGTTTGCTCGCTGATGCTTTGGGCTGTAGGCTGCGCTGTCTACGCCGGTTACATGGTGCCCGGTCGCCCCCTCACCTTTCCCACAACGCACAAGCTGTCGCTGGTAATGTAAAGTGAGGAGATCAGTGAGCCCGGAATCAGTGGGCCACCGGTGATAATTCGACCTCAGGACGCTTGGACCGCGTGACTTACGCGTGCCGAGATATCAAACGGCCTGATCAGGATACAGGTCGCCGCGCAGGGTATCGCGCGTGATAACCTGGGTCTGTACCTCGCCCGCGTTCAGTCACCCCTTGCGATACGCCGCGGACTCGTCATTGACGGAGTCATGGGTCGGGTATGGCCCGTCGCCCACCTCATCCCTTATCCCTCCCGACCGGAAGAATGCGGGCTGTCCGACAAACTGAGGTCGTGCACTCTTCCGTAAAATGAGAAATACGCCACGTCGTAACTTTTCAAACACCGAGTGCAGTGTTAAGTTACTGCTCGGTTCATGAGCACTCGTGAGCCCAGAGTAGATCTGGGTGTTTTTCACCGCACTGCACTGTCTGGGAGCGCATGCGGCGGCACTGCCGTCTGTGAGCTCTGAGGCTGGCGTCTGTGAGCCGTGTGGCTGGCATCTGTGAGCTCTGGGGCTGGCGTCTGTGAGCCGTGTGGCTGGCGTCTGTGAGCCGCGCGGCTGGCGTCTGTGAGCCGTGCGGCTGGCGTCTGTGAGCCGTGAGGCTGGCGTCTGTGAGACGTGCGGCTGGCGTCTGTGAGACGTGAGGCTGGCGTCTGTGAGCCGCTCGGCTGGCGTCTGTGAGCCGTGAGGCTGGCGTCTGTGAGACGTGCGGCTGGCGCCTGTGAGCCGCGCGGCTGGCGTCTGTGAGACGTACGGCTGGCGTCCTGTGAGCCGCGCGGCTGGCGTCTGTGAGCCGTGTGGCTGGCATCTGTGAGCCGTGCGGCTGGCGTCTGTGAGACGTACGGCTGGCGTCTGTGAGCCGTGTGGCTGGCGTCTGTGAGCTCTGAGGCTGGCGTCTGTGAGCCGTGTGGCTGGCATCTGTGAGCTCTGAGGCTGGCGTCTGTGAGACGTACGGCTGGCGTCTGTGAGCCGTGCGGCTGGCGTCTGTGAGCCGTGAGGCTGGCGTCTGTGAGCCGTGTGGCTGGCGTCTGTGAGCCGTGCGGCTGGCGTCTGTGAGCCGTGTGGCTGGTCGTCTGTGAGCTCTGAGGCTGGCGTCTGTGAGCCGTGCGGCTGGCGTCTGTGAGCCGTTGGCTGGCGTTTGTGAGCCGTGCGGCTGGCGTCTGTGAGATGTGCGGCTGGCGTCTGTGAGCCGTGCGGCTGGCGTCTGTGAGATGTGCGGCTGGCGTCTGTGAGCCGTGCGGCTGGCGTCTGTGAGAGGTGCGGCTGGCGTCTGTGAGCCGTGAGGCTGGCGTCTGTGAGATGTGCGGCTGGCGTCTGTGAGCCGTGCGGCTGGCGTCTGTGAGATGTGCGGCTGGCGTCTGTGAGCCGTGCGGCTGGCGTCTGTGAGATGTGCGGCTGGCGTCTGTGAGCCCGTGCGGCTGGCGTCTGTGAGATGTGCGGCTGGCGTCTGTGAGCCGTGAGGCTGGCGTCTGTGAGCCGTGAGGCTGGCGTCTGTGAGCTCTGAGGCTGGCGTCTGTGAGCCGTGTGGCTGGCGTCTGTGAGCCGTGTGGCTGGCGTCTGTGAGCTCTGAGGCTGGCGTCTGTGAGCCGTGCGGCTGGCGTCTGTGAGCCGTGTGGCTGGCGTTTGTGAGCCGTGCGGCTGGCGTCTGTGAGATGTGCGGCTGGCGTCCGTGAGACGTGCTGCTGGCGTCCGTGAGACGTGCGACTGGCGTCTGTGAGCCGTGTGGCTGGCGTCTGACGTCCGTCTCGCCGACAGCCTGTACCAGGAGCTGGTGACAGAGGTGCTGCACGTGCTGCTGACCCCCTCTCAGCTGGAATTGCTGCCCGACCAGAGCCAGGAGCAGCTGATGACTCTCGTCACCACGCCGCGCGAGGACGTCTGGGTCTCGGTCAGCCCGCGCTCCGCCGACGCCTAGTCACGTCGGCGTGACGTCACGCTGCCGTGACGTGTGTGCGCGTGGTGAGTGAGGACGGCAGCGCGGGGGTGGCGCCGTTGCTGTCAGGAGAGGGCCGGATGCACCGTGTTCTCGGACGGCGCGCTGCCGGCCGGGCGGGACGCTGCCTGCGCCGGAAGGCGCGCCGCGTGGCCGCCGGCGGGGCGATCAGGGGTGGCACGAAGCCGTCGGACTGGCCTTGCCGTTCGGCCCGGGCACGAAGCCGTCGGACTGGCCTTGCCGTTCGGCCCGGTGGGGCGGACACACGCTCGTGGTCGAAGATGGTCGGTGAGGGGCGGTTGGGCGGATACTTACCAGTGTGCTGGTGACGGCCGGCCGTCAGGTGGTTGTCAAACCGGGCATCGCCCGTGCGTATCGTGGGCTTGTCGATCTGTGGGTGTTCCGCTACTGTGCGTAACGATCGCGATTCTGTGAGAATGACTAGCTGGGCGCACTGCCGTGTTTGGTCTGCCCTCGTTTCTTTGCTCTCCGTTGGGCTCTGCACATGCTTCGAGTTCGTTGCTCTGTGATCTGCCTTGCCTATTTAGCACTTGTGAGTTGTCGTGGCACTTTGTGCGAAAGGGTGCATTATTTTTGCAAAGGTCGGTGTTGTCAGTGTCGGGATATTTTGCGTGTCGCCATCGCATCGCCATAGACAAATAACAGAGCTGTGCTTCGTGCCGGCGTGTTTTCCTGGCGAGCTGAGTAGGAGCAGGCGGCGACCGCCACGGCCGGGGCGGGGCGGGGTGGCCTTGTTAGAGAGAGCCCTAATGCGAGACGGCTGAGGGCGCATGGTAATGTGATCGGCCGGCAGATAGCAGAACACGGGAGATTGAGCTGACTCGCGACGGACGAAGCCGTCTAGTCAAGTTCCCAGCGGAGCTTGTCCACGCTGTCACCTGAATACGGTTGTTACAGTAGGGGTTGAGAACGTGCTGATCCGAAACAAGCGAACTTATTTTGAATCACGGGCAGCGCCATCGCTAGCAGGGTGTAAATAGCAACGCCTTTCAGCTGTAGCGCCCCGAGCGCTCGTTCTAACAACAGCCTTTTCGGCCTATCAGTCTTCTCAGTCAAACACCTCGTTCGTTTGTTTTCGACGACCAAAACCTCACGTTGCCGGCTTACCGCGATCAGTACTTATCGTGTTCCAAGTGTACGGACAGCCAGCGGATCGGAAAAACTCCCGTCCATTTACGGGTACGCTGCGGCCAGCATGCAACGACACGCCTCCTGATTCACTGGCGCAGGACGCCCACTGATAAGGTCCGCCGACTCTGGCTAGCGGACGATTGGCCAGGGGTGCGGCGGTGGCAGTGGGTGCAGAGCTTGCGTTCCCACCACCAATAAGTAGCCCAATCGTCATACGGAGATCCGATGGTGCATGTTTACCGACATCGCCGCATAGTGGACAGTCGATGACAAAGGCGGCTGGTTGCGACTACGGTCTGCCACCAAGAGCGGCTCCAGCAGTGAACAGGAGCTCTCAGCCCGAAATGTATTACAATCCGCCCTCACGGCCTCCTCCCCACTCCATGTCCGTTCCCTTTCCATGAACACCACGAGCTAATGCAAATCCGCACACACGCGTCGCGCAAGACACGACGGATAGTAATGGTACCGTCCGACCTCATTCATGCGTGGCATCAGACACATCCCGCCATTCAGAAGCTCATGTCTGCCGCAGCGTCCTGACGCCGTTGCCACCGCCGGCACCGGCCGTACACACGTCATCGATCGCCTACGCCGCCGTCCAGCGGCTGAGATCGGCTGGAGCAGCAGGCCCGTCGGCAGCTGCCGCCAGCTGCAGCTGCCGCAGCCGCCCGTAGGCAGTCGGTGCGCCGACAGACCGCCACCACCGCAGCGGGGCGCCCCCTCCCTCCGTCGTTGGGCGCGCGCTCCGTGGACGTTGTGTCTGCTGAGTGAGCACCTCCGCAATGAGAGTGTCCTTTCGGGCTTCGGATAGGCGCGGAAGGCGGGTTCGATAAGAACAGCCCGCTTTGGTGACCCGGTTCAGGACCGGCGAACGCTAAGGTCGGCTGACCTTGCAACCAGTACGCGAGGCTAGCCCAACCGTTATGTTGCGGAAATGCCTATGTGATAAACGGGACAGACTTGAACGCCAAACTCACGTGCTTCAGTGAGAAACCCAAGGACCTTAATCGAATGTTCTAATATAGATGCATACCTAGGGATCGCATGGTTATCGCACACACGCAAAAATATAAGGCCATGCGTACCATATGAATAACGAGTGGTCCGTCACTCAGCTGGTCATGCTGAGCAGAAAATAAACGCTACATTACCTCTGCTAGAGCACGGCACGCGTCCCCAGGCGAGGGCAGCGGGGCGTATCCCGGTCAGGCCTCCCCTGGTTTCCACTGCACCCAGCAGTTTCCACGGGGCGGCGCCAGGGTTGTCACGGTCACGCGGGGCGCTCGAGCGCCGTCGCAGAACAGTGTCACGCCGCGTCCTCTGTCCCAGTCACTGACCAGGCCGATCACGCTCTCTCGTCCACAGGACCACTTCTGTCTACCTCACAACCACAGGCACGGGCCGTGGCGCTGCCGGTCGGCCGGCGCCCCCGTGCGGTCCGGTCGGATCAGGTCAGGTGATATCAGGTCAGGTCAGTGAGCAGTAGCCGCCGCACAGGCCCCGGTTGTCGCGTTCGGCGTCTCCCAGGCGCACCTGGCCCTCCCGGCGCGTCTCCTCCGACTCCCACAAGCCGGGAGAGTCTGGATGATCTGTGGACAGAGCACTGTCATGTGGCACATCACCACAGACGGCCGACACGGTACATCGCCACAGATGGCCGACACTGCACCTCACCACAGATTGCCGACCCGGCACCTTACCACAGACGGCCGACACGGCACCTTACCACAGATGGCCGACACGGTACATCGCCACAGATGGCCGACCACAGCACCTCACCACAGACGGCCGTATGGCACCTCACCGCAGGACGGCCGACATGGCACCTCACCACAGACGGCCGACATGGGCACCTCACCACAGACGGCCGACATGGCACCTCACCACGACGGCCGACATGGCACCTCACCACAGACGGCCGACATGGCACTTTAAGCACACTGGGGACGGAGACACGGGACTTCCACACAGACTGGAGGCGGAGACACAGGACCTCCACACAGACTGGAGACGGAGACGCAGAACCTCCACACAGACTGGGAACGGAGACACGGGACCTTTGCACGGACTGGGGATGGAGACACCACGGGACCTCCACACAGCCTGGGGACGGAGACACGAAACCTCCACACAGACTGGGGACGGAGACACGGGACCTTGGCACAGACTGGGGACAGAGACACGAGACCTCCCCACAAACTGGGGACGGAAACACAGAACCTCCACAGACTGGAAACAGAGACACGGGACCTTGGCACAGACTGGGGACGGAGACACGAGGCCCTCCACACAGACTGTGGACGGAGACACGAGACCTCCCTACAGACTAGGGACGGTAAGACAGGCCTCACAACCAACGGAGCGCAACACAGGATTTCTTCACGGAGCCGGGCTGTGACACAAAACCTTCCGACACACTATGGACGGCAGCATAGAACCCTCCGAAATACCGTGGACGGTCACAAAATCTCGCACCGACTGTATCCGGTGGCACGCGATCTCGGGTATACGAGCGCAGTACCTTTTCACAGATGCAGAATGGCTGTATGTGACTCGGCCCGATAACGACCCTCAGTGAGCCACAACACTGAACAGGCGACGTCGGTCAACACACCGATTGACCGACGCCGTACTAATCAAACACAGTGCAGACAACGCCAGTTAAGGGTTTCGAAAGAGCGCAGATGACAACAACCGGATGGAATGCAGCGTTCACGATGGCAGTGTGCTATCACATCGCTGGCCATCAGTCGGGTGGCGTCAGCGCTCGCGGAGCGGTGACTGGCTGGCCAGCCGGCGGCGGGGCGCCTCACCTTCTGGACGAGCTCCTCGAACGCCAGCTGCACGCCCTCCCGCGTCTTAGCGCTCGACTCGATGTGCAGCATTTGATGGCGACGGGCGAAGGCCATCCCCTCCTGTCGACTCACCACCCGCTCCTCCTGGCGGGCGGCGCGCGCGCGGCCTCGTCACAGCGCGCCAATCGGCGAGTCAGCGCCACCAGTGGCAGGCACGACCGCGTGACTGAGACCGAACACATCGGGACACGGTGACGGGCGAGCTCGCTCGGACCGACCGCGTGACTGAGACCAGATACATCGGGACACGGTGACGGGCGAGCTCGCCCGGATCGGGTGCGGGAGGCAGGCACGACCGCGTGACTGAGACCGAACACATCGATACTCGTGCGACGGGCGAGCTCGCTCGGATCGGGTGCGGCAGGCAGGCACGACCAGCGTGACTGAGACCGAACACATCGATACACGGTGACGGGCGAGCTCGCTCGGATCGGGTGCAGCAGGCGAGCACGCACGAGCTATGCATCATAACGGGACGACGACAATGGTTCCGTCAGCAGTCACTGTACGACTGTACACGCATGCTTAGTGTCTGCATACAAACCTTGTCGATTCTTGTTTCCGACCAGCATCTTGACGATGTTGGAAACGGTTGGCGTAGGTCTGAAGTTCATTGAGCCACATATCTAGCTTGCTGAAACTGACCCGGTTGGCCACGTCGTAGACGAGAATGACGCCCTGCGCGCCCGCGGTAGGTAACTCGCGTCAGGGTGCGGAAGCGCTTCCTGGCCGGCCGTGTCCTGTCGGGTGGAACAGCCAGGTCACGCGACAAAGCAGGCTCCCATCAGCTGACCAGGCCTGAAGAAGTTAACCACAATGGGTCATTGTTGCCTGCACATGAATGGACCACAAGATGGCTTGGTGTAAATCCGACTCCCCGGGTCTGAATTCACAACGATAGTGATATGTCCGTTGTCCGGGCATTATTCACAGCCACGGAACATGGGTACGACAGGCGCGGGATCTGACGTC